GATGCCATTTTTTAAAGTATTGGGGTCTCCGCCCCATGGTTTCTTAAACCCCTCACCACGTTGAGCAATGCGGTGAGTGCCTTTTGCACTTACCCCGGGGTTCGTTTTTGAGGTGGTATATGAAACCGCAATGCCAAGACAGTCGTTAGTCGTCTAAAGTTTCGTTTCGATTAGCTATTCTCCCGGGGATGTTTTATGCAAGGTCCCAATAAAATAATCAGCACCTTATGTGAGCTCTACGCTTCATTTAAAGGGTACCCCATAAAGAATATTCAGAAAAAATGCTGCCAAAAAGAAAACTTTAAGGGTTGCCAATAACGGTCATAAGATAGACATCATCATGCAAAGCCCTCAAAGGTTGTACAAAAGACACCTTAAAGGAACCACGGGCAATCAGGGGGCCTTATTGCAGGTAACCACTTATAATTGGTATTGATCATTTTTTAAATATTTTTATGACATAATAACGTATAATAATATATACAAAAGACCAAATCCGCTATATATAACCAAGGCAGTGAACCTAACATATATACAAAGACCAAGTCAGTCACTCTAACATATAATAATAACATATACAAAGTCAACCTTAAACTTTCAGGGTCAGATGTCGATGTTAAGGTCAAAGGTCAATATTAAAAAAAACTCGAATGTCAATTATTTTGTATTTTTAAGAAATATTTATTTGATAACGAACTATGAAAATATTAATGTTTTCTGCTATTGAAAAATTACAACATAATGGAATAAAGGTATTTGATGATCTTGATCTTTGAGAGAATTATGTGCAATTTTGAATCATTACAACAACGAAAATTCGAGAAAAACTACACATTGCCAACTAATATAGATTTTTGAAACTAATTTATCAATTTGTTAGAATCCTAAGCAATAGTAAACGACACAGGTGAAGCTATTTGCACCTCTTGCACGCTCAATCGAAAAATAAGAACTGAATTCTCGTACGAGTAGGAAAGAAAAAATATTGTGTTCAATCGTTTAATCAATTAAGAAAGATTATGTTATCCGATTCTGTCAAACGCGAAAGTGACATCGAGAGCAGAGACAGTGAAGGTGGACATTGACAGAGTCGAATTATATACAGTAAAAGGTATTTTTAAGTTAATAATACAGAGTTATTAGACATAATCAAATATTATCGGTTGATCATATTTTATTGAATATGCAGATTTGTATGCTTTATTTGCAACATTTTGTACCGAACTTGGTAAAATATTAAAATATTTAGCAGCCTAGTTAGTGGAATGAAAAAGTTAAAATTGTCCCTTCTCCAGTTCATGTATTTGTGGCTTGAATAGCTCTCTTTCCGAATATGTTACAATTACATGTATTTCCTGCCTTACAATTTTGACTCCTTGTAACAACTTGCCGGTTAGATAAATGATTATTTCTGAGATTTATATCAATATGATCAATTACAATTCAAACTTTGATAGAGCATGCCTCTCCGCTGCTCTGTAGCCTACACTGGCTTTCCGTACGATCCAGAATTAAACACAAAATTTGTTCTCTGTGCTACGTTTCACTGACGGGCTCCAGTCCAACATACCTATCTTACCTCACCATTGTGTATACACCTGCAAGATGCTTACGCTCTTCTTCTGACACTAGCATTCTCAATATTCCCACTGTGAAGTTGAAATTATAGGGACAACGTTCTTTTACATACAAGGGCTCAGCAACGTGGAACTAATTTCCCACTGCACTTAGGCACAAAGACACAATGATCTCATTCAAGAGAGCCCTTAAAACATATCTATTTCAACTGCAAGAACAGTCATAATGACCTAATAATGTATCCTTAGACCGTATCCTTACCTTAAATTTACAGCATGTTTTTCTGTTTCTAATTTGGTTGTGTTTGTTTTTTTATATTTGTAATCATTTCATAATATATGCTTTTTTTTCTTTTTAAGTGATGACAAATGTTATAAAGCGCTTAGAGCTTCTAAATATTAGGCGCTATAAAAAGTACTTATTATTATTATTATTATTATTATTATTATTATTATTATTATTATTATTATTATTATTATTATTAGTAGTAGTAGTAGTAGTAGTAGTAGTAGTAGTAGTAGTAGTAGTCTCATCATCTTTCTCCAACTGCATTTGTTTATCTAATTTCACTTTCTTTACTTGCATTTATTACTCTTGAGGCTGAGTTTTCTTAACTCGATTTTGTCTTGTATTTTAATTTCAATCTCATAACGCGCCAGTTAGAGCCATATAGAGACATACTAACCAATTCTAAAGCCCGTTTATCCAGAACATTCTTTTCTAAAAATATTGGATCAAAATATTTTTTTTAAATTTCTTGCTTCGCTAAAAATGGTTTCGCCTTAGGAAGTTCATGTTTTCTGGCAAACTGGAGCAACTTATCCTCTTTCAATGAGTAAAACGCTTCCTGTGTAGGAAATATAGACTTGAATTTATACTGGTTTCAAATGAGGATTTGAGTCTTGGATTATATTATTGTGATCCAGCAAAAGCCTCTTGGAACAACAATATTATATGTGCCACAGAGACTCACTAACATTTTGAACAGCGTTGGATTTATTTTGGATTTGTACTAAAGTTTATTAAGAACATTAATTATTAGTACCTGTGTCCTCAATTCATTGTTTAATTTTACAAAGTTTGTTGCTTGTTACTCTTTCCTATTGCTTATTTGATCATGAAATCATGATAATTAGCCTTCTCTTTCTCTCATCTTTTTTCTTTGTGCATCTGAAATTTTGTATTTGTCTCTCTCTCGTTCCTATTTCTGCAACTGCAGTTGATTTATCTCTCTTCTTTCTGAAGCTCTCGATTTCTTGACTCTCATTCTTGTATTTTAATTCCAATTCCATAGCTTGAAAATTACAGCCAGATGTACAAACATTTTTATTCAAAGCATTTACCCACAAAATATTGGACCAAACTCTTTACTATTTTTTGCTTCGCTAGAAACGAAGCATCTTCCTCAGAAAGATTATACTTTATGGCAAGCCGAATCAATTAATCTATTTTCAATTGAATCTAACCGTCTCTTGTTTGGATTTATAATAAAGTTATCCACTTTCGATGATATTGTGAAAGCTTTTTTGTTTCACTACGAAAGAACAACTACTAGCTAGGACTTAGAAAAATCCAAACAAGGTGAATTTAAATTTCAAAAATTAAGTTTTCTTAAAATTTTATTGTCCAGGACTAGAAACAAAATTTCTATCACTCGTTTATAGTCTCCAAATAAGTATTAGAGAATAAGAATAGTAAGCCCCAGCACGTTTTGTAAATTTAACAAATAATAAATTTCTTTAGAATACAATGTGAACAATTTTAATAATAATGTACGGTATTGAGAAACAAAACCCAAATAATCTAAAATTTTCGACCACTAGTCTTAATATTTAACGGTCTGAAAAAACTTGTGATATTCCTAAATAAATCAAACACTGGAAGTATTCATTTGCCTTGCATGGCCATGTTGTACTAATGGAACAACATTCCTTTGTTGAATCGCAATAATAAAATCCAGAAATATACTTTTATTTGAAATTGTACGTTACATTTGAACTAATAGTTTGTAACAATGGCATTTTGAACACTTATTTCCAGAAAACATCACTTGCTTAATTTGAATAAATTCCAACCCAAATGAAATTTTGCACACAACATTAATACAACTTGCTTTCTTAGATCTTTCAGGGCTAATAATTGTTTCTTTCCAGTAAGATTATTAATTTAAACTGACATCAGGTCTCAATTAGCTACAAAAACTGTTACCTAACGAAACTTTTAATTCATGAGGGTTCCAAATATTTTCAAGACAAAATCTGAATCGTAATTAAAAAGGTCTGCTACTACACTTTTAATAAAGAACATTGAAAGCACAATGTCACTGACGCAAAACAGGATAAATATGTTTGCATCTTTTTTTATTAATCCTAATTTTAATTTCATACTCAACTGAGAAACTATTAGTTATGCATTAATTGTTTATAGAAAAAAGTCAATGATTCTAGCCAGGTACAAAATTAATTACATTTTACAATTATCGATTCCATATAATGAAATAAAAATAACGAACACATTATGCAGATTAAATATACATAACGCATGCATCTGAAACAAGAAAGCTACTTATGATTTGGGATTACAAAGTCATTTTTCAGGAATCCAGAATATAAACCGTAAAAAAAACAAATCTTGTTCTCTGATACAACCGTTGATCAACCGCCGTGGATGACAAACATTTGAAACAGACTGTCGATTTTGCTGTCAAAGGTCTAGATCACCGAGTCTGGAAAAGAAATGATTGCTTCAGCTTTAAATGGCGATCGTACAGTTTCTTGTGCTCGTGTTAGAACTTGCAGATGAAACATTTCTCGATTTCTTTTCCACATTTGGTGACTTTCACAATGTATAGCAATGCGCTATAAATGTGTGTGCTTCTCATTTGAAGGTAGTAATCAACGGAATTTGCGATGTTTTTAATCTAGCCTTAAGATAATGCATTAAGATGACGGTAGGTTACAAATATCTCAAGTTTTGATATGAAAAATTAAATCTAAAACCAGTTTCTCAGCATTTGTCGATTTTTTGAGATTTATTTTACTTTCTTTCCAGATTTCCCAGGTTATCAATCGATGCTAAGCGAACAAGACTTTGTAGGGATTGTTACTGGAGTTTTGAGTTTCACCTTTTTTGTGAGCGTCTGCGTGACAGTTTGGATGAAAAGGTGATTACTTGATCTCACATCTCAGAATTGTTATTCGAGTTTTGATTTTGACCTCTGTTGTGAGTTTCTAAGTGACAGTTTGGATGAAAAAGAAATTATTTTTACTCTCCCTTCTCCAAAATATTGCTGAAGTTTTGATTTTCATCCTTTTTGTGAGCATTTGTGTCACAGTTTGGAGTAGTATTTCATTCCAGGTTGATTTTTGTACATTAAAGTATTTAGCTCTCTCACTTTACAGTACAAAATCAACAAAGATTCAGACCACACCGGTGTCCTAGTGGTATGAGCGTCCGCCTCAAATGCGGAAGGTCGTGGGTTAGATTCCCGGTCGAGTCATACCAAAGACTTACAAAATTGGTACTAACATCTGCCTCGTTTGGCGCACAGCACTAAGAGATTGATGTTAGGACTGGTCTGCCTGGTGTCAGGATAATGTGACTGGGTGGGACATCATGCTATACATGTCTGTGTCATGATGCCCCAGTGCTAGACATCACTATAAACTGCCATACTGCATACATCGTAACGATATGACTGAAACATTGTTAAAGCTACGTTAAAAATCATAATTACATCACATCACATCAAAAATATGCAGGTACCTGCAACAATGCACATCCAACAATTATTACGGCACGTGTGTGCGCGCGTGTGTGCGTGCGTGTGTGTGTGTGTGTGTGTGTGTGAGAGAGAGAGAGAGAGAGAGAGAGAGAGAGAGAGAGAGAGAGAGAGAGAGAGAGAGAGACTTTTAAAATTATGAACCCCAACAGTATGTATTGTGTTTTTGCAGACGGAGACGGTTAATGTTCCAAGGTGGGCAACATTCCAATATAAATAGGATAGCATACACTGAAGAATTACCTCATATACATTCAAGTAACCCGAGTACTTCTGCAACCGTCCCCACAATTTCCAGCACGGTCATGCATTATACAAACTTAAGCTATCCCCCGCCTACATACAATGAAATTCAAATTTACCCGCCTGCGTATGAGGAGATTAATTCTGCTCCGTCCCTAAACAACTGCTAATGAAACAGCTACCAGATTCATGAGCGGCAGAGATGAAAGAACGATTACACAATTGAACGTCAAGGAAATTATGATTATTAATATTAACATGTCCGGTCTGCATAATGGTAATTCTGTACTACGATTATATTTATTTTATGTTTGTGTTTACTTTTTACATGATTTGTTATATAAGAAATGCCTGATTTTGAAAAGTACAATGAATTTGTTACTGCTGCTTATTATTCATGTGTTTTATCAGAGTTGGACATGAATTTTTGTCATTAACATCTGTAAAATGATAATAGTAGTATGAATCCGAAACATGGGTTCTGTAAACGACACTTTTGTTTCTTCAAGAAAACAAAAGTTTTAAATTGGTAGGGAAAGACTGATTCAAAAATCTCCATTGATATTTCATGTATACCTTTAGGGATTATTTCTCTTCATCGTTTGGGTTTATTTTGGTTTCAGTTTTTAAAGTATATTTAAGACATGCGATACGATAAATATATGAAACATTAATAACTGGTAGAACAGTGAAGCGTTCGGTTTCGTTTGAAAGGTCTAGCTCTTTCAAGAGTTATTAAATTGACCAATCAGAGGTTGGATATTTTATCCGCACTGAAGTTAAATCAACAACAAACGATAATAACTAATTATAAACTAAACTAATTCACAATATTTGGCAAATGAAAAATATTGGAAATTGCCCTTATATTCATCATTAACGTTATTGCTAAGCCTAGCAAATAAACATTTCTTGGTTCAAATTATACTGAGCGATTATATTAATAGATGATACATCATTTTGGCAATTCTCGCCACCCCCACCCCCACCCCCACCCCCACCCCAAAAAATGTTACCGTGACCACACCTTGGTTACCAGTTTACAGGAACTATGGATGGAATAATATGTTGCGTCCTTCAACACAGAATGATGGGACCTAAATTCGTGTATAAAGAGTTTAACATTTTGGACTGATGTGTCATACCGTCTTAATCTTATCGGCGTCCAAAATCCATCCCATATATAATAAAATCTACGATATATAAAACATTGTGCCAAACTATAATACCGAAAAAAAAGTTTTCAATGTTAAAATATGTTCAAACTTTTCTTGAATTGTGTCAAGTTCTAAATAAATAGCACAAGTGAATCTTACTGTAAAGTCTCGATTTTTAATGTATGGAAGATCATCGTTTCTTATTTCCCCTCTAGTCAGAAATATTGAGCAATTTGTATCTTTGCCAATGAATTGACCCATTTGTACCCTTGTCAATGAACTGATGAAAAACTGATATTGTTATATCATTAAGACGACGTCATCAAAAGAAGGGAAGCAGAGATTAACATTTTCGACGTGATATTCAAAATGTATTATTGGCATTATCTTGATTTCGCAATTCTATAATTGTGTTTGGCTCTTTTTCACTTTTAGATGAAATGCTTAAACTCTCGAATTGGGGCCCCGAGTGGCCGAGTGGTCTAAAGCACTGTCCGTTACGGATCACTGCCATCTCACCTCTGTCTGAGTGTGTTCGAGTCTAGGATTCGGCTAATGTAGATATGTGAGAACGCTTGCCAGTAGCTTCTCGTGGGTTGGTGGTTCTTTCCGGTGATTTCCCGGTTTCTTCATCCACCATTAATACTGGCCGCCATGAATAGCCTATCATGTGCTGAAAATGGCGTTAAGCCCAACAACAACAACAACAATAAACTCTGGAATTCGTCGAATGTTTATCAGCTAAGTCTTTGAAATTATGGCACGATACTGTCCAATTATTGATTTGAGTATGATTCATTGTACTCTTGTACATTTAGTATATCGTGTACATTATTGTTCTGAAACATAAATGAATGGCAGCATCTAGGACACCACGGACTTGAAATGTATGAACGAGTAGAAACCTACACCTACAAATATTTAATCTGAAATGGAGCATATCATGTTTGAGATAATTATGGTTTTATTATATTTTAGTAGTATCAGGTTTATATATTTTAGTACCATTTGGATTTTAATATATGTATGGCATCATCATGATTTAGCATATTTTTATTTCCTCGTTTAGTAAACTTGGTATCATCATACTTGTAGTAAATTTGAATTATCATAGATTTTAAGCAATACAAGGGTAAAACAGAACATGTATAGTTAGATTTTAAAATAACACAGGAGTAAATATGCTCCACACTCATTGCTCTCACCTTTTGTTTCTATTTCACGGGTATTTTATTTTTTTATTTTATAGTTGTTTATATTTTTATTGTGTTTTTAAACATTAATTTGTGTATATTCCCAAGTTTGTTTAAAATATAATAAAATTTTTTGAGTCTTGCATCTGGATCCATTCTTGACACCTACAAATTAGTTAGGTTATTTGCTGACGTTTACAGGTTGGTAAAACAATTTATGTTCTGAGACAGTAAAGCAATGACTTTGGTAAATTGCTGTTTCCATTAACAGTACATTGTTATTTCCCCAGAAACAAGTAGAACGTATTAGATTTTAGGGTAATAATTTTTTAATTTTCATTTCGAATGTTTTAAATTAGGATTTTAATTATCTACTAAATTTGTTAGCTACTGTTACAGACATTTCTACAGTTTTTGTTACATTCTTTCGTGCAGTTATTGTTACAGACTATCGTACAACTCTTGTTGCAGACGTTCATACAAGTTCTTTGTATACTCTTTCGTACGGTGAAATCTGGAATAAATTGATCTCCTTAAGTGATAAATTTGATAACATTCGTACATGTCGTCTGTTCGTGGTTCATTAGTTTTATATGAAACAGCTGGTATCAAACGGAATATTAAGGTATTTAAATCTGAGGGTTTTTTGTCGATCATTACAAATATATTGAAATAATTAGGTCACTATGCTAGTAATGTTCTTCTCTGTCAACAGATTTAGTGCTGTCTGCGTAAATATAAGGAATAACAACAAAAACCACAACAAAATTAGTATATACTCCAATTCATATTATATAAATCAAAGTTCACTCTAAACATGAATGGTACATTATAAAATAATCTCAGTGTAGCGTGTGATTTTATTACTTAAGTCTGGCTCTTTTTGGCAACATTTTAAATCTAGCATATGAATGAGCACAAAATGCTTTAAAAAAGTATCCTAAAAGAACACGAAGACATGGAGTGTTCAGACAGTTCGCCATGACCGATGCGTGTGAGATATGAGTGTTGTGTTACGAGTCTATGCTCTTAAAATAAGAAAAAAAGAGTGAAGACAACAAGCTTTGTAAAATGTAACAAATAATTTATTTCCCTAGAATAAAAAGTGAAACATTAGGTGAAAAAAATTCAAGGTTTTAAAAATTTAATCCAGAAATAATCCAATAATTAAAAATAAACTTTTTAGTATCAAAACGTTCCGAGTCCGAGTCCCGAAGAAATCCAAAATGAAAGACGATAACGAATTGCTGTCGTATCAAGTCCTTTGTTGAATCAAAAGAAAATATTATTCCAGTTTTGAACTCAGCATCACTTCCAATAAATATATTGTCCTAGAATTTTGTACGAGCACTTTCTTATTCACAGGGGAAAAAAAATCACTTGAATTCAATAGATTGAAGGCATTACAAATTCAATCCAAACTGATCACAACATAATAACAACTTAACACGTCAATTGTTTGGATCCCAACTGATATATCTCTATCAAAAAGACGTTTTACGCTAATTAAGACGCAAAACAGATCCCTTGAGTAGGGTTAGAAATTAATTCTTCTAGAAAAAATAGAAGTTTGTATTATGCTATTTGTCACGTAGTCCAGGTATGACCTTGAATTAACCTTATGATTCTTACTCTGATCTGAGAAAGATTAAAATAAAATAATTAAAACATCGTTTACCAAAACTCTGATCCTGAAATGAGGTCATCAACTAAATTCAGTGTTTCTATTAGCTGATATGTCAGTGAACAAATGTAAGTCAGGTCAAACAGAACGGAACTCAAATTCTGGACAATGTCAAATCCAGTAAATAAAGTTACATTGCAATAGCATGTAATGGAATTATAAATTTTAAAACTAATACAAATTATTATTCATATATAAGAGTTGATAGCATTTTATTAACTGTGGATTTTTGTTTAGCGTTTAGTGTGTGTGTTTGATTGGATCTCGTAGCTTTAATAATTTTAGTCATATTGCTACGATGTCTGTTTGCATTGTCGCAGTTTATATTAATGTCTAGCACTGGAACATCATGCCGCAGATATGTCGCATGATGCACCGCTCAGTTACATTATCTTGACACCAGGCTGACCGATCTGTGTTTGTGCCTCAGTATGCAAGAACCCATTTCATGAACCCAGTGTATGCTGGCACTTCCTGGGATAAATCTAATCGGCATAGTATCGCAAAGCACTTCGTGCGTACGACGCACAGTTTATACAAGCACACTATCATGAATCAATCGAACCCGCATGGTGCTAGAAGGCATTTCCTGCGTACAAAGCCCAGCATGAAGCCTCTGTACCCAGCAGATCTTAAATCATTTGGTCGTAAGCCTTTTCAACTCGAATGAAGCATATAATTAGCGGCGTCTTGGAAGTTGATTTCTAAATAAGGACATGACTCGAGTATACTGAGTCACCATTCCGGACATTCTAATCAAGATAATTCGCAAAAATACTTTCCTAGCTTCACAGCCTTTATCCAAAGACTGCTCCGGTAGATTAATTGTTAGAGCGTCCGCCTCGCATGATGCCCTAGTCCTATACATCACTATAAACTGCCACACTGCAGACAACTTAGCGATATGACTGAAAAATTGTTAAAGCTATGTTAAAATCATAATCACATCAAATTACATCACCAAAGACGGCAAATATTGTTTTGAAGTTCCCTATTCGTTGTTAGATCCTACTATGATGCTTGAAGACTTAGCCTTACGGTTGTGGATTGAATACGTTTATTATTCTAGTTGTCATTCGGTATTTCATAGATATAGCTATCATATCGTTTAATGCAACGTTGATGATCTTACTTTAATATTTAGTCGAATTCTTCCTACACAAAAATTAAACTTATACTATTCATACAAACGTGTTGTCCACAAAAGGAACACGCAGTAAAAAAGTCAGAAAACAAAAATAATAAAAGACAGACATTTCTGTTATTGAAATTGTTTCTTGCAATGTCATTTCACATAACATGTTATATTGACAAATGTTCTGTTGCAAGCGGGACATTAAATTATGTTGTTCCCTTTAGAAATGCATGGTCAAATGACGAAATTCCAATGACATCTCTAACCACAATGAATATGCAGCTCCCAGGTGGTAAATCCTTCCTCAAAAGTGTCGTAATCGTAACTGTATCCAAGAACTTCTTTGATAGTAATAAAGCATTAAAATGATCTTGGTGATAAAAAGGTTAAATAAAATTTCGGTCCTCCACACAGGAGATCTCCACGAATTGTTTGAAAGTACACTTTTAGCGTATAACAAGGATCTACCACAGCTTGAAGATTTTTTCTCATTCCATTTCTTGCTCAGTCTTTCTGGAAATGCCGGCTTGGTAAATTAGTATTTCTACTTCTCTACGTAGTTAGATTCTAATGAGTTTCCATAATATCTGATTTATATCCTGCTTGAGCAGCTACTAGAGCTTTGGCAATGATGCTGATTGTGAACTTACTCCTTTAGCTTTTGACTAGGTCACATTTTCTCCTGGTATCATGCAATAGGTTTTGATCACAGGGATCATTTTACTACTCATTCTCTCTATTCTAATCCGGTTTGTTATGTTTGAAAGATTGGGTCCTTATCATGTTAGGACTCTTTGGTTTTAAAATACGTACAAAAAGAGCATAACTAATACGTTATGTATATTTGAAAATGTTAATTTAATTCCTTAAAATATTATAGTGTAAGAACTGAAAATGACTTACACTATGACGAATGAAATATTAAAATATGCTCTGTTAATTCCAATATCTTTGAATGAAATCAAAGTAATTCCACACAGCTACTATATATACATAATGTCTGTATATGCTGCACCCCACCAAAATGTAACGACCATATACATGTATCCATTTTTACTGACCATTGTAGTAGTAACTAAAGAGCAACATGCACTTGCCTGTGACTCCTGTAACTCTCGGCAACGGATAGTTTGTAATGTATGTTTGTTACAATAATTTTGCAAAACTTGAATTTTGTTTACAATAACAGTTGCAATATCTTTTTTGCTCGATCATGTCTTCTTCGGAACTGAAAATGTAGACAAATATTTTAATGCTATCTTGAAATTCAATCTTTGATGAAATATGATATAAAACTTTTACTTTCAGTTTATAAATCGATCTAAGAAACATGTAGCTCTCAATGCTATACGTCAGTTTAACTTCTATAACCCATTCATTAAAAATTTTGGTTTATTATAATGAATATTTTGAAAAACTTATATTCTATTTTTATAGGCTCGGTTTCGGTAGGACTATTACCTGGTGAAAGATCAATGAAATGGAACAAATCAATGCAGCAATAACTAAAAATTGTTCCTGTTATTCGGTAAATTGTATCAGTGACTAATTCATCGTAACGCTTGTCAACTGCTTATGTAGACGATTTACTCAAATTAAATATTACATGTTCTGCAATTTAATACTAATGTATCTTAACCTAATCAATCAAATCCTGATTGTGGGGCTCCGAGTGGCCTAGTGGTCTAGAGCGCTCTCCGTTACGGATCACTACCATCTCACCTCTGTCTGCGTGGGTTCGAGTCTAAGATTCGGCGAATGTGGATAAGTGAGAAAGCTTGCCAGTAGCTTCTCGTGGGTCGGTGGTTCTTTCCGTGGATTTTCCGGTTTCTTCTAACACCATAATACTGGCCGCCACGTATCGTGTGCTGAAAAATGAAGTTAAGCCCCAGAACAACAACAACATCAATCCTGAATGTTTAATTCTATGTACCTTAAATGTGTTCAAAAATCTTTCAGATAAAAATGGATTTTACAGGTACAAAAAGAGGACGTTAAATATCTACTGTTGATAATAACTTTATGTAAAGAACTAACATCTTTAATTACTGTTATTATTGAGAGAATGATTAATACGTACCAGAAAGAGCAGAACCAATACGTTATGTATATTTGAAAATGTTAATTGAATTCCTTAAAATACTAAGAAAAATAAGAGCCTGGTGTGGCTGATCCACGATAAATTTTAGAGTTCATCCGGTACAAACAGCTACATATACCATGTTTGCGACTACGATACATAACTTCTTCAATTACAGAACATTGGTAATGCAAAAGTGTTTACTTACCATTAACTCGATTCAACGTTAGCAATACTGTCCCGTTGAATAATTAGACATTTTCTTCTGCACACATACATCCCGTAAATAAGCGAAACTCAGTTTGAAAACATGTATACTATTCGGCACAAACGTAAACGGCAAAATATGATTAGCTTAAAAGGTTATACCTGAGTGTAAATGTGTCCACTCTGACAAAATTCGCGAAATTCGCACTTTCGGAGCCCATAACTTCAGTTTGGTGCAACGTAAAATAGTCTGCGATGGCTAAATGGATAGAAAAATATCTCAGGAGTAAAACAAGTCATAGAATATGATCGTTTACCGTTAGAGACAAAAAATAGCAAAAGGAAATCTAGGGTCATGGGTTGAACGAAGTGTTCGGAAGTTACAAACCTTGTCTCTTATATACCCGCTCCGGTGGCTTATTGGTTAGAGCGTCCGCCTCGGATGCGGGAGGTCGTGGGTTAGATCCCCGGTCGAGTCGTACCAAAGACTTACAAAAATGGTACTAACAGCTGCCTCGCTTGACTCTCAGCATTAAGGGGTTTGTGTTAGGACTGGTCAGCCTGGTGTCAGGATAATGTGACTGGGTGGGACATCATGCTATATGTCTTCGGCATGATGCCCCTGTGCTAGACATCACTATAAACTGCCACACTGCAGACATCGTAGCGATATGACTGAAAAATTGTTAAAAGCTACGTTAAAAAATTATAAACACCAACACTTTGTCTCTTATATAGTATGACGGGGAGGGCCCAATGTCAGAACGGGTCATTGTGGTAATCCGAGGTATTTGTGTCACTCTGTAAGATTTTTACTTTAGATTATTGGGGGGGGGGTAACATCAAGCTTGCGTCGAGTACCATGTTGTATTTCGTACACAATAAAACTGGTTAACCCTATGATGGACTATCCAAGCTAATTCAAAGTAAATGGTTTTTATCACGTGCATCAGTACTCATTTCCAGATTAAATGCTCCTGATGATATATTCTCACCTCCTATATTACTGAATATTTCCTTCACCAGGAATTAAAACTACTCCATCACCACAACAGGATAGTTTAGCCTGACACTTTAATCTGAAATATATTGTTCAATAGTTTCATATTTTCGTCTGAATCATATCCTTCCTGGCAAAACTTTGAACTTTCAATGAATCGTTACATGTGCAGCTGATAATTGACTGTAATACATGTTCCTATTATTAACTTTAGACCAGGACAAAACCTGGGGATCTTTAAATCTAGAAGGGCTCTTCCACTTGAACCGTCCGTGCAGATACGCCCAGTCCTACCAGTTAGATAAACAAGATTAAGCAGATAAAAGCAATGTTCATACATCAGAGGAAGAAAACAATATTTTAAACACAGAAAAGCAATCTTCCTATTTTTTCACGTGAAGCAAATAAACAAGAGTTTAAAATTATGTTAGGTGCTATATTTTACTTTTGAAATAGGAGGATATCCAATCTTTTTACAATAAAACTTACTTGTATGTGCTTTTGGTGTTGTTCCTACATGTTTTATTAAAACTCCTAACAACAATTATCACCGCTTTAAGATCAATCAGGTATCACAAAAGCAACTGGTCCATCTGAATTTTACAGCCAGCTTATTACACTGTAAATTATATAGTGCGACTCCACTTTTAGCTTATATCAGTACCAATGATATCATGCAATGATGCGGCTTCCCTTTTAGCAAAAAAAAATTGCACTGCCTTAACGAATAAACCTCTTGTACTTCCACCTCTCTCGTACCAAGAATTAGTGCATGAAACACTAGACTATTTCACTCCTGATGTTAAGAGTCTTATATTTATGTCCTATGGATAAGCAAGATTTACTGAAATCATAGAGACACGTATTTCAGCAACTGGATAGGAGATTTTTTCGGTTAGATTAAATTATTCAAAATTGATAGGACTTTACCTGATGTTTTTTATAGGCAATCTTTCCGCTTGCATCTGTTATAACTATTATAGAATTTGTTCTCTACAAAATAGCTAAATATTTTGTAATAAAAATATTAAAAGATTTCTTGAAAAAAGTTCGAAAGCTAGTGATTAGAGGATGAAATCAAAGTCAATGTTTGAAATTAAGTTAGCAATTTTAGAACATATTTTCATTAAACATCTAAGTTTAATAAAGTATATTGTAAATGTGACTTGAATAAATCAAATTAATATTAATTTCAGTTTACCTAACCTATAATTTTATTTCAGTTTGAATGAAAAATGGAAAAGAAAAGAGATTTCTAAGAAAAACATGGCATCAAAACAAACATGATAACAACTTCAAAAGGTAAATAGAAAAGAAGAAAGAGCCAAGCAGAGTTGAAGTTCGACAACAACCTGTAAATAAATAATTAGGAAAGTAAAAGCAGAAAAGGTAAAATACGAGAAGAGCAAAGCTAACTTTATTTTTTAAAGATAAAGAACACAATAGAAATTACATGATAGACAGGTTAGTAGCTGTTATAATATTTATTTATTTTAAAAGTGCTGTGTTTTCTTTTATAAATAAAATTATACACTAGACTAAACAAAAACCATAAATATTCAAAGAGCAATTGAGAGAACAAGAGAGTTAAAATTTTAGGAAAGGTCGTACTGTTGAATCTTTGTCATGATCTATGTTGTAATTAATCATATTATCATCTTTCTAATGAATTATATGGTAATTATTTATAATATCACCATTACATAGGCACTCAATATAGATATAGCCGATCAATTGTAAATTATGACTATTCCTCCCCTTTTTCCTACTTCAAGCATTTTAAATATGTTGTAATGGGTTAATAACTCTAATTCGTTACCACATTATTACTTCAGCTTATATTATTTATTGGTCGAGAAGCATTAAGGCATGCGAAGGATTTAATTTGCGATTGTTTAAACTGCTTTGACCTAATATATTTATTTTGTAATGTAGTAATCAAAAAGATCTTATAAATTTATTAAGTTGAATTTTTGTAATACCGTTAATGTATATGCAGTCAATTTTGTAGGTTCTTAGCCCTTTGTGATCTATATTTATTTTCAATCTTAGGCACTTTAGTCTATTTAAACGTTTCCTTTAATCCATATATTCTATGGATAACTCTTCGTAACTATTTTCTACTTCATAATGCCCATATTATCATCTTTAGTTCAAAATATAGCTTGCTTCTATGAGGTAATCATAATATAGTATTTGTATGAGAATTTAATTTTAACTCAGAAGTAACAAGAAAAAGAAATAAACATTGCAGAGAAGTATTTCTCTCATCCTTCATTAACGATACGTCTGTTACGATTGGCGTGTTTACTTGCGTATCTAATTCTATGTCACAAGCACCAAATCTTGATAGGTTACATGACATTGTGTCTCACATAATAAACGAGTTTTTACACCAAAATTCTTGAATTAATTGATAAATCTGCTTCATACATATCATCATATTGAATTTCGGTTTAGGAGATGGTATTACTTATTCATTAAAACCCTACAACCTGCCTGCTGAACTGCTGTTTCTTTATCGTAGAACGTGCAACTGAAGTGGATAGATCACTAACAACATCGAGATTAAAAACCATAATTCCGTTTCAAGTGGAGGAAGACTATAATTAGAGTTTAATTCCTGAATTCTCGTCAGTTCTCGTTAAACATCCCTTGGATGCCTAATATGCTACAAGTCATTTTTACTTAGTCTATACACATTCTATTATGTTCCTTTCAGTCGACGCAAGATTTGCATGTCTATGACTGATATCCAGTCATTGAAAAACATAAATTTCAATGTTCCTATTACACATGCTGGATCTTATTGTGATTGTATTAACATCGTCTCTAAACCTGTTCCAAATTTAACACAATAATCTTATCACGATTTAAAGTAGAGTAATACGACTATAAAGCAGTGAAGCATCTGTTTTATTTTATTTTATTTATTTTTGATCAGTCTCTAACTCCAATGTGCAGAGATTCCTTTAAGAAATTTTAAGCAAAACAACGCTGGAATTCTAGGGCGCTAGAAGTACTAAATTTATTGATTTGTATTCCTATATACGATATGCCGGTGCTCGATTATGTTCATGCGTGCTTTGCAGTGACATCGACAGAACAGGCCACTAATGTTTCATTAGCCTTTCCGAATATAGTACGGCGTATTAAAAAGTGTATATTTATATCATTCGTTGGATAACTATATTAGATTTTAAAATGTTAGAATATTCAAAGAAAAGATCGAGATGTTGCAGTTCCTGTAAGTTGATATTCGTTAGACTACAAAATGCGAATACAGCCGATAACTTGCCGTCAGTAAAATGGCTTGAAAAAGCCATTGTGTCTTACTTGTGACTGCAATTATGACTATAAATAAATTTGTATAATTTTAAATACAGATTGTCTCCCTTTAATGTTCATCTTTTACAGTAAGCCAATAGTCGGTTTTCCAGCAGCTTTCTCATATATCGTTCTCCACTATATCAATTAAATGGTCAAGTTGAAATGAAGGTAACCTTGTACAACTAAGTCAGCAGGTTGTCGATACTGAAAACCGATCCAAATAACAGTTTGTAATGTTGACATTTACTTTCAGTGTCTCTGAATATTGCAGCGAAAAAGCTGTGTATCGTGCACACGGTTGCTGTGGCATCTTTCAATATGGCTGCTACAAGTAAGTAGATTACATCCTGAATTATCATAGGTTGTATTTTGTGTCTTTGCATCTTGAGATCCATTTTGTGTCTATTCATCTTAAGATCCATTTTGTGTCTATTCATCTTGAGATCCATTTTGTGTCTATTCATCTTAAGATCCATTCTGTGCCTATTCATCTTAAGATCCATTTTGTGTCTATTCATCTTAAGATCCATTTTGTGTCTATTCATCTTGAGATCCATTTTGTGCCTATTCATCATAAGTTCCATTTTGTGCCTATTCATCTTAAGATCCATTTTGTGTCTATTCATCTTGAGATCCATTTTGTGTCTATTCATCTTAGGATCCATTTTGTGCCTATTCATCTTAAGATCCATTTTGTGTCTATTCATCAAAACATCCATTTAGTGACTATTCATCTTAAGATCCATTTTGTGTCTATTCATCTTGAGATCCATTTTGTGCCTATTCATCTTGAGATCCATTTTGTGCCTATTCATTTTAAGATCCATTTTGTGTCTATTCATCTTAAGATCCATTTTGTGTCTATTCATCTTGAGATCCATTTTGTGCCTATTCATCATAAGTTCCATTTTGTGTCTATTCATCTTAAGATCCATTTTGTGTCTATTCATCTTGAGATCCATTTTGTGTCTATTCATCTTAAGATCCATTTTGTGTCTATTCATTTTAAGATCCATTTTGTGTCTATTCATCTTAAGATCCATTTTGTGTCTATTCATCTTGAGATCCATTTTGTGCCTATTCATCATAAGTTCCATTTTGTGTCTATTCATCTTAAGATCCATTTTGTGTCTATTCATCTTGAGATCC